TCGGTCCGCCGGTCCCCTCCCCGGGCCCGCCGCCCCGGGTCCCCTCCCGGGGCTGAGGCGGCGGCTTCCCCGCAGGCAGCACGCCGCTGGGCTGCTACAGGAAGCTGGTGGAGTACTGCCGGAACGGGGACCTCTCCTTCCAGTACGTGAAAACCTTCAACATGGACGAGTACGTGGGTGAGTGCCCGCACACACGAAGCGTTTGGCTTTCGTTATCTGCTTTGCTGTGTATCACAGGTCTCCGTCGGTACAGCGGGGGTGTCCGGTTCCCGAGGCAGGGCCGCCAGCCGCCGGCGGGGCCGATGGGCCCGGCGCCCCGTACCGCGGCCCGCGGCCCCCCCCCCCCCCCCCCCCCCCCCCCCGCGGGTCCTGCCAGGCCTGGGGGTGCCGGCAGCCCCCCTGCAGAAGAGTCACGGTGGGAAGGATAAAGTCTGCGTGAGCCGAGGGAGTTAGCAGGCACAATTTTAAAACCCGTGTAAGAAATATTAAAGAGTATCAGGTGTTGCCTGGTATTACACGCACTAGACGCTGCTGTGTTTTGCCTGAAGTTAGCTATTGGTCAGCTAAGGATCCATCTTACCATTGCAGTCTGAGATAGCGTGCAATATTAACTACCACCTTTGCTCTGGGATTATAAAGGTCACTTTAGCTCCAGGTCTCTTATAAAGACCGACGTGTTACCTGTCCCGGTGCCCTTCCACAACCGACATGCACTCCTGTTAAGATAGCAGAGCACCATTTAGTTTATGAAGCTGTGATGAAACAGCCTCTTCAGAAGAAAAAGTACAAAGAGATTAATGGGCAAGCCTAAAGCTCCAAAGGTGAAAAGCATACAGGCTAAATATTTGCTAATGCTAATTTTACTCTGGCCAAGAAGTTTTCCTGTGAACAATCCTAATCCAGCAGCACTGGGGAACAGGCAGTGCAGTGTGGGTTTATAGCATCCAAGGGGGAAAAATTATGCAGTAAGTTATTTCCAAGTCTTCTGCACAGCTTTTTAATCATTCTTGCTAATACAAATGGGTAAGAATGCTAAAAAGGTAGTAACAGATGAGGCACAGTGCATGCCTGCTTGTCTGGAACATCCATGGCATGTGAGTATGAGCATCTGTCTTACAGGAGCTATTGTGATTGATTTAATTTTGCTATTTAGGGAAATAAAAACAACTTATGAAAGTTGAGGGAGTGACAAGTGACAGGCACAGAAAGCAGTGCTCTATGACCAAGGGCACTGCAAGGGCGTATAGGTGGTTTATATTATGTGTGATATTCTTTCCGTTGGTCTTAGTCCTGTGCATGCTCTGTTACTAGGTCTCCCAAGGGATCACCCGGAAAGTTACCATTCCTTCATGTGGAATAACTTCTTTAAGCATATTGACATCTCGGCAGAAAACGTTCACATCTTGGATGGAAATGCACCTGATCTACAGGCAGAGTGTGACGCATTTGAGGATAAAATCAAAGCAGCTGGAGGAATTGAACTCTTTGTTGGAGGTGAAAACCTGAAGGACTAGCGGTCTCTAAACACTGGCAGGAAGCACTGCCTTTCCTCCACCAGCTATCTCAGTTACTATCAGGAGAGTTCATTTTCAGTGCAGTTCAGTGGATTGGCAGTGAAAGCCAACCCGTACACCATCGCCCTGGGCGCTCGTGTGCTGGCAGCCTTGTCTTCCAATGTACTTGCTCCCCCAGGTTTAAGTATTTCAATCCAGTAAGTGAATTGTTCAGGGAACGATTACCAGGAGAAAAAGGCAGGGCTAGAATTGTACCGAATACAAAACATATTACAATTGCTAAGTTACAATTACAAGTGCTAACAGGAAACTGCGAGGAGTAGTCAGAGTCCTCTGAGCCAACGGGAGCTCAACGCAAGCTTTTCCCAACAGTTTGCCTTGAGGTTCTGCCATCTGCTTGTTGTCTTGTCCCAGCACAATTAGGGAAGAGTCTTTGTTGGCTTCAGAGGGGGCTTTTGCCATCATTCCTACCAGAAGCAAATTTGAGCTTGAGCAGAAAAATTGCAAGTGTTTTTCTCAGATCTGTATCTATTCCTGAAGCACTGAATGTCCTTTTAATAGGAGTGCTGCTGGCTCTGCTGCCTACAGTAACCGTTACAGCCACTGACCTACTTCTCAAACTGTCTCTGTCACAGGTATTGGCCCAGACGGTCACATTGCCTTCAATGAGCCTGGATCAAGTTTGGTATCCAGGACGCGAGTGAAGACCTTGGCTATGGACACAATATTGGCTAACGCCAGGTTCTTTGATGGTGACCTCTCCAAAGTCCCCACAATGGCTTTGACGGTCGGAGTAGGCACTGTCATGGATGCCAGAGAGGTTAGGAGAAAAGCAGTGACTTCATACCATAGCTCTTGAGCGGGGCTTCCTGGAGCAGCTAAAGATTACGCAGTCTTGGAGCAGCAATGCACCCTGCTGGCATAGGCCAGCTTATGCTCTTCCTGCCACAGACAGCTGAATACCTGATCCTCCCGTTCTCTTGCATCCTGCAACACCATGGAAAGGCTCTTGCTCTGGCTTCCATTTTTGTTCTACTAACACTTATGTTTGTGTAACCCTGCAGTACAGTTGTGATCCACAGGGAGCTAGAAAGGTTTGGAAGGACGTCTTTGGCTAAGAGTCTCATCTGGGGAAATAACTGCACAAATCACCGGTTGACTTGATGTTAGAGCGGCAGATGATTAAAACTGTATGGGATAGCTTTTAATTGAGTCTGTACTTTGATGTATACTTGTTAAGTCTCGGCGTATAGGTGCCTAACAGGGAAGCGCAAAGGATCCAAATCATTAAAATGACCCATCAGGCTATGATTAAATTGACAAATAACATGCAGCCAGAGCAAACAGAATCGCGATACAGTGAAGTGCCTCTGCGGAGGACGACAGAGAGATCCCCCTGTTAGGGACTGGGGCAGCGCTCTCGTGCAGGGTGTGGGTGCGCTCTCTCTCTCCTTCTAGACCCTAACTGCCACCTCTGTGTCTCGGAGTCCAGGTGATGATCCTCATCACAGGAGCCCACAAAGCCTTTGCTTTGTACAAAGCCATCGAGGAAGGTGTCAACCACATGTGGACAGTATCTGCCTTCCAGCAACACCCCAACACTGTGTTTGTGTGCGATGAGGATGCCACGCTGGAGCTTAAAGTTAAGACGGTGAAATACTTTAAAGGTGAGTGTTTGACCAGACCCAGCAGCTGTTGTACTTAGTTTTTAGGTGGGAAAAGCCACGCTTTGCATTGTATGTTTCTGTTTCATCAACTCCCAAAGGAGTACCTTCCTGAAGTGTAACAGCTGAGGTGTACAGCCATAATAAAAGCGTAAAGGTAATGCTGAACTGTGTGGGCATGGGAGCAAAGGAACAAGGACTCTGGTAATACCTAATTTCATTAGCATCCAATGAATGAGAATTTTGCTTTATTATGTCTACTTAAGTCATCTTTTTACTTGCTACATTAGGTTTAATGCTGGTTCACAACAAGCTCGTGGAGCCCTTATACAGCATGAAGGAGACGGGAGCAGAAAGAAGCCAGTCTAAGAAGCCATACAGCGATTAATCTCTCGCTGTTCAGAGTAATGCTGAACCAGCTTTTCTGTTGAAAACCAGCTGTGAAGAAAGGGAATTGCTGCAGAGACTTATCTCATATTTGTTCTTAAATTAGCAAAATGATTATGTGCTTGCTTCTCTTCATTAAAAAGACAGATGCAACACCTGCCTTAATTAACCAAATGAGGAAGGGAGCCAGTATACTGTGTTCCACAAACTTCCGCCACTAGCTTATTCTCTGAAAGTCAATGGAGAATGAGTTGTTTAATCTATAAAGCAACTGCAATCATGTGGACCGAAGGCCCCAAGACTTAAATGTGAAGATAGGTCAAAGTACAGTGTTGCAGAAACCAAACGGGTAATCGCTTTGGGATGTATTCCTTGCAATTATGACAAGTTCCTTTTTGTGTCACTCCCCCTCCACAATACGCTCTTACATTATAGACATTTAAAATGGGAACTGAGCTTGTTCAGCCTGGAGAAGGGAAAGCTTCGGCATGACCTAACAGCAGCATGCTTCAGGGCTACGAGGAGGTCATCAGGAAGATGGAGCCAGGCTCCCCTGGGCAGTGTGCGGGGGGAAGATGAGAAGAGACAACGGGGCTTGAGTTGAGACAAGATGCTCAGACTGGGTATAAGGAAAAAACTGACCCCTGAGGCCAGTCGGGCAGTGGGGCGGGTTCCCCACAGAGGCTGTGCCGTCTCTGTCCTTAAGAAGTTTTCAAGACCTGACTGGATAAAGCCCTGGCTGAAGCCCGCTTGGAGCCAGATGTTGGACTTGAGACCATCTCGGCAAAAGGGAGGCTACAGACAGCGTTCATCAGCGCAGTAGTAATAACGCAGTACCATTAATGCAGTTAATGGTTAGTTTACGCATCTATATGATTTTATTTGTTGTCACACAAGAAGCCTTACATGTTCAATTGCAGGATATAATTTTCTATGCCCTGGTGCTTTATTATGTACTACAGGAGGGTAGATTTGTTCAGATTAAGCATAAATGATTTCTCTCTGTGCGGCTCAGAACTCTGTTATTGTGTCAGCGCAGAGCCTGAAGCAGTAAGTTCTCTCTCCCTCCTTCCCGTGCTTTACATTGCCACAAGGAAATGCCAAATAAGTCTCAAGGGAAACACTCCGTTCCCTCTGGCCGCAGCCTGTGTCTAATTACAGAAGCCCTGCACGGGTGGACAACAGCCTGTACTGGCAAGACCCCACCAATTCTGAAACTTGATTCCTGGGTTTCCTATCAAGTGCTAGCAAGCGAGGGGCAAGACAAACTGGGGAGCATTTATTTTCTTTATGCCGAAATTTTTGTAAGAAAAATGCAGAAATTTATGCAGAAATTTTGTAAGCTGTTGATCTGTAATGTAACTTTCTACAGTAAATGTCTTAATTTTTTCTAAATGGTCACAGTGACTGTGTCTGCTGCTCAGTCTCACTGCGCTAGTGAAACATGGAACAGTTCATGTGGCTGGACAGGACTCGTAACACCATCTTTGAACAGCAACCCCACAACCTTCAAAGCATGAGAAAGACCTGTTATTTTGCACAAAATTTCTCTATCACCTAGAAGCAAAGCTGTATTGAAAGCAGTTTGGTAGAAACAGCTACTGCTGCTCCCTACTTCAAAGGCTCCCTGCCTTGTCCAGTGTTTGCTGGCAGGGCTGCACCAAACACCCGCCATGGTTCTGTCCTGCCAGGCAGCAGCCATTTCATGTAAAAAGTGGGGATATTTAAAGGAGAAAAGAGGAGGTCACAGCTCTCTACCTGTTACCACAAAATGTCTGCAGATAATCTAGCGCTCATTCTGTGCATGCACAAAAACGGAGAAAGCGAGGAGGTCTGCAAGAGGAAAAAGTACATGCTGAGGAAGAAACTGCGCCACGTCAGCAGAGTTGCCTGCCTTGCTCTCTCACGTCCTGGTTTTAGCTCTCCCACCTTTGCAACACCAGCTGCTTGTCCTCCAAGTGCAGTCGCTTGCCCTCTCCTCAGAGGGTCTGTCCTCCTCTGCCTCACTGCAGAATACGGGACAGCCCAGGGGTCCCCGAGTACCCAGAATTCATAGGCACGGGGGGGATACATCGCTGTTCCTCCTCTCTCCGCACACAATTCTTGAAAGCAAAGTAGTTCATTGCAACACCTTCAGGTACTTCACCATAGCACTTGAGCTGTGGTAGCTCTGGCAGACGTCCCCAGCCACGGCTTTTCATCCCGACGTACCCTTTGGCCTCCAGGTCCTGCCCTCAGCCCACCTCCGTCCCTGCAGAATGGCCCTGCCCAGCCTCCTGCAGGTTTAAGAGATCCACCACCATCTCCTCCATCCGGGCAGGAGAACAGGGTTTAAGCGCGTGCTTCTTGTCACAAATACTCCCCATCTGCCCACGTGTGCAGCTTAGTGGGAAGAAAGCCCCTCTGAACAGGGGGCAGGTGTTGGACTCAGCCCCTCCGAACACAGGCAGCTGTTGGACTCAGCCTGTAGAGTTAAAAATTGTGACCGGAGTGGAAGCTGCCGTGGGGATTGCAGCTCAAAGCTGGCTCCATCCAGCGCAGCGTGCCCACAGTAGTGTCACGACAGCCACTGTCCATCAGTCAGGGGCTTGCGTCTCCCAGGGAAAACCAGGGCTTTTTGGGTGTGAGGGCACGTTACGTACGTAAACCTCCAAACTTCTATCAGCAGAACGCGTCCTGCGGCAGCTTCACCCGAGAGCTTTGCACGAGCCCAGGTCCGGTCTCTCTCATTCTGCAGACGACCGCGCGAGCGAGCGCCTCAGCCCCGTAGCACGCGGGCACTAGAGGCGATCGCCACCCAGACGCAGAGCTCTGTCCCGCACGCTGACCTGTGCTGCCATATACGTGCCGTAATGAAGACAAACAGGGAGACAACTCTGTTTACTGTCTTAAAGTGAGTTTAGTGCATGTGAAAGGTCCTACACGCTGTAGCCTAAACCAAGACAAGAAATCTGCTCTTACCATCTCATCTTTTTAATCACTGCCAATTCTCATAGTACAGACTTTCATCCTCTGCGAAAGGAACTAAATCGGCACTCATTTTGGCCAGATATCCGAGTATAAATTTATTTACTGTCAGTCAAAACTGAGTGAGAGGTGTTCACCTTGAGTTTCTGAAGAGTCTTCCAGCTCCTGAGCTATCCATCTGGACCCTGCTATTTGTTTTCAACACAGCACATGCAGTTTTAATTTCAAAATAAGTTTTTAGACCATCCTGCAAGTGGAAAAACTTCTAAAAAATTAGTGGTTCACTCCAGTAATTACTTTCATGCTCACAAAACTACATACTGAGCTTTTAGGGGAAACAATTTGGGTTTTGAAATAATGCGAAGTGCAAGAAGAGTGGAAATAAGGGATCTAGTCCAGAAGCAAAACTATCAACTAATCAAATTTCTTATACAAAGAGTTAGTAAAAAATAAATTACTTCATCTGAGAAGGCAAGGTAATTTTCAATATCTTGAAGAATTCAAGTTAATCTCAACTATGTATCTGTAAAAATGTGTTTCAATATCTGACTGATACTTTTCACCCTCTCACTGGCCACATACTCAGTTCATTGCCTTAGCACTCATCACTGTCAAAATCAGGAGAGGCGATGGGAGTGAATACAACAGCAACGCTGAGATGAGTCATCAAACTGATTCAAATTTCTGGAAATGGTTGTTGGGTCATTTTCTGCCAAAGCATTCAGGAATGCAAAGACCCAGGCATTACAGCCAGTAAGAAGGGGGTTAGGGATAATCAACTTTAACATCGTTAGAAAGTATCAGTGACAGAGCAATGAGCTGCTTTTCAGAGGAACGGGTCAGGAAATGCTATAGAAGCAACAGGCTCAGTTGCTGAACACAGAAGACGTTTTCTGTATTATATCAGAAAACTTCCCCTGTCCAAGCAGCATCACTTAACAGCTCCAGAAAGAACATTACAGCTACAATAAACTGCCCTAAAACCCACAATGGATACGAGCCAAGACCCTCGAAAGGTCAGTCTCCCTCTAAAGGAAACCCCCAAATATTTCTATGATTTGAGGCTTCAGTTTTGCTTGTTTGCTTTTGGAAAAGGGGCACCTCTTAGTATATATTTTTCCAGTAATTTTCCAACTTCTGACTGGCTGTATTTGTCTTTAACAAGCGATATGATTATTAGGGCCTTCAATGGTGATCCTGACCACAGGATGGGTAAAATGGTCTCCTTTGGTTTCGGCAACAGCCTCTGAAGTGTGAGTATCCTGCAGTGCAAGGTAGTTATGATTCTTCTATCACGTCATGGAAGTGAAAAGCAAACAAACTTGACACAAAAATGGAAAGCATCTGTCTCTGGTTTGTTCAGCTTTTGTTGCGAGAGAAAGCTACTAGTCTTCATCTTCAGCTTCCCAGAACTCACCATCAATATGCATGGCTTGAAACAATCTGCAAGACAGCCAATAATTTACATCAGGATGTAAAAAATGTAAAATATGTACAAAAAAAGAATCAATCTCAATGTGACCAAAAATAAGAAAGCAGCAAGTTTCACAATTTTTGTCAGTATCATAAAACACTCACACTGCGATCATCAAAGTCAAGTAAAATAAGCTACTCCGTGCTTCTACAGCACATTATACCAGAAGGTTGTACAGCACCTTACAAACATGATGTCTCAAGAAATCCCTGGAAATATTAGTAATCCAAACCATATTAATAGTTACCTAGCATGCTGCCATTCCTAGCTGGTCTTTAGCCAGTATATAATCAGCAGCCGAGCCTGCCTGCTCTACAATCTGATCGGACAATACAGAGCTGGGCAAACAACTATAACATATAAGTGGGGGGGAACAAAAGGTTTGGGTTTGGTTTTTTTTTTTTTTTTTATAAAACAGATGAGCTTAGTCAAGATAGGTAGAGGTTAAGCTAAACTGAAAGAAAAAAGACCAGAAGAAAAACAGAAAGGAAAACAGGGTAGGGAGTGAAAAAATCACTGTTGGGAGAAGAAGGATTGCTGAAAAAGAAGGGCTAAGAACAAGGAAAAAAGAGTCCTGTCAGCCACATCTATTACAGCAGAATAGATGGTGGAGGATTGAGTAAACTATCGGTATTTTGACTTTTGTATCCAGGCACTATATATCACAGCGATGGGCACATCACCCAATGGAATACACACAAGCTTAGAGGCTGCCATTATTACACCTCTCTGACCTGCCTGCCCTTTCATTTGTCCAGATAGCAGCGGCATCCTTTGTCTCTTGATATATCCTGAACAGTGATGATGTAAGCCAAGTTTGCAGCTTTTTAGAAGCAGCTTTTTCCCCCAAAACCTTGTGTTGTGCTATCATATACCCGAGCATCTGCAAGGAAACATTTCACTAAAGGCTGTCTCTCAGTCAGAGGCAGCAAGTAAAGCATCAGGAATAGGCCCAAAGCCGACTTCAGAATTTTAAAACAAAAGTTCTTAAAAAGCAAAACCATATCCTGAATCACTCCGGATTTTTTTATTGTTAGGTCCTTGTAAGTGTAAATATTTGAGAGAAGAAACCGTGTCTTAAACTGTATACCTACAAATTTCAAGGGAAGAATAATCTGGGAGAGACTGTAAGAAAAAGTATAAAAATGAGTGGTACAGCACTAGAAGAAATACACGTAAATACATACCTATTAAAGCATGGGGAAGATGGATCATTGAAGTGCCTGTAGGGGTTCACCCTTGACAGAGACCCCATACAAAGCCAGCAGAAATACTGCATGCAGCCAGTACACGTCATTTTGTTACAGCCGTCTAGTTTCTGAGGGGAAGAAAACAAGAAACAGCAATAACAAAATCTTACCACGTCAGTCTTCAGGCCTGTCTCTATATGATAACAGTCCTCAAAAACACATCAACTCATGAATACATGCTACCCCAACTCTATCATAACACTGGTATTTTTTCACTGTTCAAAAGAACTAGGAGCTAGAATCACAGAATTGTAAATTGGCTAGAATACTAATAATACTGCAAATTAATATTTTCCTGAAGCTAGTTTTATTTCCTGGCTGTAGTCTGAAACAGCAGTAGCCTGAAACACATGGAAAACAAAGGGATTCATATGGATCCATAGTCAGCCTGGATCTTTTTAGTACTGGAGTCTGAACAATAGCAGTTGCTGTATTTACCCAAGTCCCTGAGCTCCAGAAACATCACCTCCTTTTCTATATAACACAGACAGAAATGGAAAGTTCTTTTACCATTTCCTAGAAATTTACCTTCCCTGGTGAACTTGGAGGCTACAAATAAATCTCTGTTCCAGCCTAGATACAGAACTGACTGAATTTATGTTAGTTTCTGTTACGAGTTACTATGATGCCTCAGCCTTTCCCCTCCGTGCGTACCTCTATGTGAGTACCGCAGCAAGGACAAGACTTCGAGTTCTTTTCTAGCCATTCTTTACTCTCCATCTCCTCAAGGGCTTTCTGAATCACTCGTTTGCCATAGCGCTGTTCCAAAAATTTTTTAGTTGCCTCATCTGCTTCTAAATATTCGTTTCGCAAATCCATTAATTTCTCTGAGGAATAAAACAAAACAAAAAAAACAACCAACCAAATAAAACAAAACAGCTTTTGTAATATATTATATAAAGAAGTCCAGGTAATAACAGCATAAAGTATTCTCAAAGGAAAATAACATCATTAATTAAAAAGCAAGTAAAACATCAGAATACATAAGAAAAAGATGAGAACAATAAAACCCCTCTACCTCAAAATTCAACGGTTTTACACTGTTTCATTATAAAAGAGACCAGTCAATGGAATTAGAAAAAGTCTACAACGTAAAATAAACTGAAAAATGGAAATATTTTTTCTGAACACAAATTTAATGAAACTTTGTCACAGGATTTTGAGGCCAAACAGACAGAGAAGCACCCACCTGATTCCAATATCAATTCTGACAACAGAAAGTAGTGGATTCACAGGAAAGGGTAAAAAAAAAAAAAGGCACACATAAAATTATTCTTTCCCTGCTATGGCCTCTCAGCATTTGGCAATCAACAGTTTAGGGACCTCCTGAGCTGTGGAGTGTCATCAAAGGAATAATTCTTAATTGCCAGCAACAGACCTACTCCAAATGAAACGGTCTAATCTTTTAGAAAGCTCACGTAGTGATGAGTTTCCTTGCTTAACTTCTGACTTTGTCTTTTTCACACAAGACTTAATTGTTTCTTGATCCTTTTCTAAATACGGTGACTCACCCGCAGTAACTTTACACGGAGAGACCCCATGATAAGTCATTTTACAGAGAGTACAAAAAGCATAGTTGCAACGGGAACATATGCCCATGGTGCAACCTGGTTCTTGCATGACTGGTGTCTGACAGCCCGGGCGAGGGCAATACACTACATCCGCCATCAGGTCCAAGCTAGACTGCAGAAGCAGGCGGTCATAACGTGCAAACAGCTGCTCTCCAACCAACTCTTTAACCTAAACAAAGATCGAAGAAAGATTACATGCATCTGAAATTCTGAGCCTGCTAGCTTCAGCAAAAAGCAGTAAAGTCAATGAAAAAGCACCTACAGCTGGGATGAATCCACTTTGTATTCTCCAACAGGTCATGAAAATACTCCTAGAAATGCTATTTTAATAATAATTAATCAAATGAAAAGTATGCGATGTCAAATGCAATGGGGCATTAATTCAGGCTTCTGACCAATGGCAGTACTAACACAGCAGGCACAATATGTGCCGTGTGATCCAGTTATAACTCTGATGCCTCTGTTCGGCTCAGCGTATAAGAAAATTTCCCCAGGTATATTCACAACGCTCACCATGAAAAGCCACACCTTGTCTTCTGTAATTATGGGTAACTTAGCAGAACTCTACCATCACTGCTTGCACACTTCTATTACCTGGCCAGGAGTAGCAACAGAAGAACACTTCGGTTCTGGGCAGTTGAGACAGTGGACCTGACCATCCCTGATCTGTATTTCAAAGTAGTCCTTCAGGCATGCTTTGCAGTATACATGGCTGCACTCGGTGAAGTACATACAGTCACTGCCCAGCTTCTCACAGAAGCAGATATTGCACAAGTACATCTTACTGTTAAAGCACTTCCTCCTCTGAGCCTGATCAAAGTCCAAGATTTCCCTAATCAGACTTGATAACGATTCCACATCCTGCACAGCTCTTGCATCGATGATTTCTTCTTCAGCTGCTGCAGAGCCTGCTGCACCACCGCAATCCTTCTCAGCATCGAGAGGGACCAAAGGTGTCCTACTCTGCCCATTTCCTTGGCGGCACATTTTTAGCTCATATGGGGAGGAAATATTCAGGTAACTCAGTGTTTCTTCCTTCAGAAACTGCATCCAGGCAAATAAGACCACACAGCCTCGATTCTCTTCCCATACGTTGTCTAAGTGTTTGCAAAGAGCACTGAGCTAGAAAAGAAAAAACAATTCCAGATTTCAGTAAGTTCTGACAACTCGTTACTGTTTTCCTCTCCCACGGTCCCCCTTAGTGCATATTTAGATTTCAGATTCTGGAGTTTTTAATATATACCTAAGATATACATTAAAATAATGCCATAGATGCAAGTTTTCATTCCTCAGAATGGTGACCAAATAAAACCACAAGAAGAGCCAACTGAAAGAGCAACGTAATTGTTTATGTCTTAATTTTATTTTCATCTACTACATTAACATCCCCCAGAGCACTGTGAACGAACTCATGATCATAAAAGCTCTGTTAAAATGTTAACACTATTTTGCAAACCTGGGCTTGGGAGAGCCATTTTCCACTGAGGGTAAACGCCGGTGGGGAGGTTGATGGGTAGTCTGGCGGGAGTTCAAAATTCAGCACGAGGGGAGGCAGAAAGCAAACGGTGTATTCAAACCCGTTGTTCTGGAGGCTTTCTGTGGAATTGCCTGAATCCAAGAGAATTGAGACACTTTGAGAAATAACAAGAGAATGAAAGCTAATGAACTGTACTGGTTTATGACAGATATCTCTCTTCATTTGATAAACTTCTGGGTTTAAAATAATTTATTCAACCCTAAATAACAAAACTTCGCAATGCAGTAAAATTTCGTGGGGTTGTGTGCAGATGGTTAAATCAGTAAACACCAATACTGTGAACTATCAGATCCTGCACAAACCAAGAACCTGGAAAGACATATCCTCAAGAAAAAAAAGAATTAATTATTCCAGAGAAATACTACTACTTATCTCTAACTTTGAAGTTCACTAAAGAGGTTACATGCATGAGGATGAAATCAGCCACTCAGCTATAAACCCCAACACCACCACAAGCGCAGCACAGGGTCAGTCATGGCTTTCCCTGGTCAGTGCTCCTACAGGTCGCTGAGCAGCAGCCATCTAAGCACGTACCAGAAAATCAGCTTGGTAAAAACTGATTTTGGGATAAACCAAAACATCTCAACTCACCACTCACAAAAATTTTGAAGTTTTGGGGCAACTCCAGACAAATTCTTGTTTCTCCTCCTTGGGCAGAGTCAGCTCTCTTAAACTCATCTTCATCATAAATGCTAGCCAAAGCCAGCAGCTCATCCTCCTGAGCTTCTTTGTCTTCTGAAGACATTTAAATTTTCTGTGGAGTTAACACCACTCTACAAGATCAACTGAGTTAACGCATCCTATTCAAATTATTAATTTAGGGTATCTATTTTACGCTACTATAAGAAGATTTAGAACCCAAGTAACTGATATAAAAGAATGTAAAATACAATTAAGCTTTTTTACAGGTTGAGAAAATATTGGTAGCTACATAAAATAAAACAACACCTTAACACAGCACTGAAAAGTCAAAAAGCAAAGTGTTAGTGGCTAAAGACAGCTGTAAGGGGGAAAATAGTGAAATACACTGATGGCAAGCGACAGAGAGACAGTTCATTAATGTTTGAAAGGGAAAACAGACCGAAAAACAAGAAAAAGGAGTTAGTACCAGTACCTCTCATCCATGGTTCTAAAATAAACAAACAAAAAGCCCCATTTATGATTTAAGTTATTGAAGGTATCAAGAAGAAGCTTCAAATCCTACAGAGGCATCTTGCAGATGCACTCCTATACCATTTCAGTTCTAAGTTTGGGGAAATAAAGTGAAGTGTAATGGCTTACCTTTTTATTCGCAACTGCACAGTGGCAAAGTTGTAGGTACCGGTTACTGAGCAAGGAGAGCCACGTTAGCAGGGCCAGAGCAGGGCCCCTGATCATTCCTCTGGGAGAACTGGAGGTCATAAACTTTTTCTCACATAAGGCATGAAAAATGTCGACTTTGTCATCAAAGTGCATACGGTTATGGCACCGGTACTTCTGCGCTGCCTGTAGCCAAGCAAACAAACAAACAAGCGCTCAGAGGGATTAAAGGCCCCTCAGCACTTTCATCATGAATGCTAACAAACATTTCATTTGAGCAGACACGCTCAGTAATTCAGAACAATCTTTTTGCGGCTCTAATAGCAGTAACTCATTTATACGTATAAGCTGCGATCGCTGCAATTCCGACTGTTACCTGGACTGACTCAGGAGCCTGGTAAGGGCCCCACTGAAGTCACCAGAGATCCCACCCTGCTGCTTCCCCCCACCCCATTCAGGGAGATTATTCGCTGCTAGACAGCAAAGAAGAGGCAGCCCTTCCAAACAAGCAGCGTGGGGAAGAAAAACATAACCAAAGAACGTACGAGGAGCAGTGGAAAGAATTAAAGAAAAAAGCCGAATTTTCAGGTCAAGCTCCCCCACGCAAGCAGCTGTACAACTGGTATTTCAGTTTCAACCATTCCCGTCGAACGCACCGCCCAACGCCTGCCGGCAGCTCTGGGCAGGCCACGGGGAGCACCAGCAGCAGCCCCCG